GGTATCACTTGGATGTTGAGGTGGTGGCCGTGCTTCCTTATCAGCCTCACTGACAGGTGAGAATCAGGGGTGTGCAGGACCCCTGACAAGGGTGAAAGGACCCAGGGCCTCATGAGGGGGCAGGCCAGGAAGGCACCTGGAGCATACGGAGGCCCACTCTACACACCACACACCATTAGGATAGTCTACACTGGCAGGTGGGGCAGGTGTCATGGGGAACAGGTTCTGGTGAGAGGTGGCTACAGCAGGCATGCACTCAGTTTTGCTCTATGCCAGGTGCTGCTCTCAGTGACTGACAGAGCATCTCACTTCACCCTCACAAAACCCTGTAAGGAGGGAAAGTTACTACTCAGAGCACAAATGAGCCGAGGGAAACACAGAGAGCCTAAGTAACTTGCCCATTGCATGACACAGGGGCAGTTCAGCCCTGGACTGTGTTGCTCCAGCCCCTCCTCTCGTCCACTCTGCTACATTGCATTGACTACTAGACCAATTGAACATGGTCCTGGGTGAAGTGACATTACATTTGTTTTCCTCAAAGCCCACAGTTACCCTGCTCTTCTATGAAAGTGGAACTGGGCCTCAGAGAGGACAAGTGACTTACCCAAGGTCATACAACTAGGACTTGTCCCCCTAACCAGGGTTTTTGTTTTGTTTTGTTTTGGTACTGGAGAATGAATCCAGGAGTGCCACATACCCAGCCCTTTTTTATTTAGAGACAGAGTCTCACTGAGTGGCTTAGCACCTCACTTTTACTGAAGCTGGCTTTGAACTTTCGATCCTCCTGCCTCAGCCTCCAGAGCTGCTAGGATTACAGGCATGCACCACCACTACCAGCCACACCAGGGTTTTAAATAAGGATCATAACCCACCTGTCCTGGGTTATGATGGGTATGATAAAAGGCCAAGTGGAGGCGAACTCCAGCATCTGAGGTCAAGATGGGTAAATCCTGTCCTTGCCCTGAGAAATGGGTGTCCCCTCCCCACAGCTGCTCTCAGCTTGATCCCATATAGGATCAACAATTCCCCACAGCATCTTCTCCACAAACAGGGTTAAGGGAGCCTCTGAAGACTTCATGAAAGCAAGACCCTGAACACAGAGGAGGTTGAGAAGTATGTAGACCAGGAAGCTAGGGATGCTGGCAAACTGTGTGCAGGAGCCCCAGACAGTCACCTTACTCCCACTTCTTACCCCACTTGGTGATTTTTTTTCTGCCTGAGGGCATTAAAAACATAAAGGTACATCTTAATGAATATTAATAATTTGCACATTGCCAGGCACCATCGTGCAGGGCTATAATCCCAGAGGTCTGTAATCCTTCTGGGAAAACTGAGGCAGGATGATCATAAATTTGAGGCAGCCTGGACAACTTAGCCAGACCTGTCTCAGAATTTTAAGAAAGGGCTAGGAGTATCCTTTCATACAGTTGCTCAGTGGTAGTGTCCCTGGGTTCAATCTCCCAAAATACATAAAGAGCACAAAAAAGTAAATTGAACATTCATGAACAAACCACCCCAGATGAATCAGTAGGCTATACAGACATCCCAGAAGTCCCAGAGACTCCATCCCAGCCACATCCCTCACCCCTGCAGTGAGAAACACTATGGTGACAATGAAAATCATCCCTTCACCTTTCTTTATAATGTTACCTCTCATGTGGTAATACGTTAGTTTCACCTGTTTGTAAACTTCCTGTAAATGGGTCAGTCATACAGTATGAAACTTCAGTTTGGCTCCTTTTGCTCAATATCATGTCTGTGTGATTCATCCAGATCCTTTCATACAGTTGTAGATCTTCCCTTCTCGTTGTGCAATATTCCTTTTTGTGAATATACCAAAATTTATTGGTTAATTTATTAACATGTCTGGTTTTTCTCTGTGGTTTTTAACATATTCTAGGTGTGAGACCTTTATCAGTTATATATGCTTCCATTTTCTTCTCCCTAGATGTCGCTTGTGTTTTCACTCTATGGTGTCTTTTGATCAATAAATATTTTTTAATTTTAATGTCATTGAATATTTTATAATGTTCATTTATGGTTAATGCTTTTCTGTCTTGAACAAAAAACTTTTCAATCACAAGTAAGCAAAGATTTTCTGGGGTTAGGGTATAGCTCAGTGATAAAACTCTGGTCGAGCATGCATGAGGTTTGAACCCCAACATAAAAAAAAAAAAACTTTTCTGCCATATTATAATTTTACAGCTTGTTGACTTTGCCTTTCATATGTAGGTTTTGAAATAACCAAGAATTATTTTTGTGTTGTAAGACAGGGATCCAATTTCATCATTCCTTTTTTTCAAAATAGAACCAATTGTTCCATTTACTGAAAGTCCAACCATTTCCCACTGGTCTACAATACTTCCTCAGTCATTTATTTAGTGTCTACATAGGAGTGGGTCTGTTCCTGAGAGCACAAGTCTATCATTGGTCCACTTATCTACTCTTGCAGCAATATTGCACCACCTTCTAAAAAATTTTTTGAGTTGTAGATGGACATAGTACCTGTATTTCATTTATTTATTTATTTTATTTATTTATTTATGAGGTGCTGAGGATCAAACCCATGCCTCACACACAATAGGCAAGCGCTCTACCACTAAGCCACAGCCTCACTCCAATATTGCACCATCTTGATTGCTATGTGTTTATAATAAGTATACTTCCACATAATTTTATGAATTAATTAGTCAAAACCTACACATATGCAAACATCTATTGGAATTGAGATTGGATTTGCATTGAATCTACAAAACAGTTTAGAGAGTAATGACAGATTTATGGTTCTGACTTTTCAATGTATACAGCTTTCTATTTAGGTTTTTTTGTTTTGTTGTGTTTTTTTGGTACCAGGAACTGAACCCAGGGGTGCTTAACCACTAAGCCACATCCCCAGCCCTTTTATATATTTTGTTTAAATACAGGGTCTCACTGAGTTTATTAAGACCTCCCTAAGTTGCTGAGACTGGCTTTGAACTCATGCTCCTCCTGCCTCAGCCTCCCAAGCTGCTGGGATTACAAGCATGTACCACCACACACAGCTCTATTTAGTCTTTTTAAAAGCCTTTCAATCAGGGTTTATATTTTTCCATAAAGCTCTTGCCCTGTTTTGTTAATTTTTCAGTAGGTCATAAACAGTATCTTTTTTTTTTTAGTTGTTGACAGACCTTTCTTTTATTTATTTATATGCAGTGCTGAGAATCAAACCCAGTGCCTCACACATGCTAGGCAAGTGCTCTGTCACTGAGCCACAACCCAGCCCAATAAATGGTATCTTTATTTAAAAAAATATTTATTGGGGCTGTAGCTCAGTGACAGAGCACTTCCCTTAGCATGTGTGAGGTACTGGGTTCGATCCTTAGCAACACTTAAAAACAAACAAGGGCTGGGGCTGTAGTTCAGTGGTAAAGCACTTGCCTTGCATATGTGAGGCACTGGGTTCAATCCTCAGCACCACATAAAAATAAAGAAAGATATTGTGTGTTCAAAAAAATTAAAAAATAAAGGCATGTTGTCCATCTACAACTACAAATTCTTTGTTATCATGACAAAAGTAATAGTTTTGTTTTGGATTTTTTTTTTTTGGTGCCAGGGATGAAACCTGATCTTCACATGTACTAGGTAAGCACTCTACCATTGAGTTACATCCCTAGCCCAAGCAATAAATTTTTATTTTATTACTATTTTGGGGAGGTGGAATGGGACTCAGGAACACTCTGCCAAACAAGCTACACTCCACCCCCAGCTCTTTTTATTTATTATTTATTTATCTTGGTACTAGAGATTGAACCCAGAGACACTGACAACTGAGGCACATCCCCAGCCCTTTTTTGTACTTTATTTAGAGACGGTTCTTGCTGAGTTGCTTAGGCCCTTGCTAAATTGTTGAAACTGGCTTTGAAGTTGAGATCCTCCTGCATCAGCCTCCAGAGCTGCTGGGATTATAGACATACACCACCATGCCAAGCCAAATAAATTTTTAAGTATAGATTTTTGTACCCAGAAATCTTTCTAAATTCCTAGTAATTTTAATAATTTACCCATAAATTATATTTTCTACATATACAATGGTATTGCCTACACATAACAATTCTGTTCCTAATATCCAACCTTTAAGTGTTTTCTTTCCCTTACATTATTATACTGACTATTAAGCCAGTGCAAGGCTCAGTAGAAATGGCTGTAGCAACCATCCTTGGCACATTCCCAATGCCAAAGCTATAAACATTCAAATATGCAATGCTTTGTATATACCCTTTAACCTAAAAATGTCCATTTGACTGTTTTGCTAAGTTTTTTTTTTAATCATCAATAGATGTCAAATTTTATCTAACCCTACCTCCCTATCTATTGAGATGATTGGAGGTTCTCCTTTAATCTGTGAATGAGGCCAATTATGTTGAGTTCAAATATTAAAACAAGTACATTTTGGGACTAAATCCTACTTGGTCATATTAAACTTTATAAAATACATTGTGCCCAGGCAATTATCATTTCATTTAGAATATGTGCATCCATTTTCTTGAGATTGTTCTATTGCTATTATTTTTTGATTCATCAAGTTTTTAAAATATTTTTAGTTATACATGGACATAATATATTTATTTTATTTTTTTATGTGGTGCCAAGGATTGAAACAAGTGCCTCACATGTTCAAGGCAAGTGCTCTGCCAATGAGCCACAGCCCCAGCCCATGATTCATCAAGTTCTAAAACAAAGATTATATCAGCCCCATAAAATGAATTTGGTATGCTCCCTCTTTTTCTACACCCTGGAAGTGCTTTGGTAAAATTTGCATTTTTTGTTTCCTCAGTATTTCAACAGCAAAGCTATCTGGGAAGATAGTGTTTCTGTATGGGAAAACTGTTGGCTCCCAGTTTCTTCTTCAATTGTTATGGGCCTATTCAAGTGTTCTATTCCTTTTGGAGACACTTTTGGCAAATTATATGTCTGTAGTCATTTGTCCACTTGACCTAATTTATCAACCAAATTGGCATGAAGTTGCCTTTTTAGGCATCAAATTAATTACCACATCAATGGAAAGACAAACATATCTAGGTGTTGATACTGGACAGTCACAATATCCTCCTTGAAAAGCAGATGAGATGTGTGGGTGTTTAATTGTTCACTAGCTGTTTTCCTCTTCCAGACTCTTAGGTGCTATTTCTTCTGATGAGTCTGCCTCTCCTCCCCTTCATCATCTCGTGGATTCTTTCCTGGTTTTGAAAACCCAGTCCAGGCACTAGATCCTCCAAGATTTCCAGACTCCCTGAACTGGGCCAAGCATCTGTCCTGGGCTCCAACGGCCCCTTGGACCTATCATTGTTGATGCACTAGCCATACTGCACTGAAATTCTTTCTCTGTCACCCCCACTGGACTGTGAGCTCCTTTCTGTGTGTCCACAGAACAGAGAAGAGGTGGCCAGTCAATACTTGTGGAGTTGAACTGAGCTTGTAACCACTGAGTGGCCAACTAAGCTTTCTGGCCATGTTTCTCTGTATATCCTCATGTACATTTGTTTGTTCCTTCATGTATTTCATTCAATGGGTACATGTTGAACAGTTACTAAGTGCCAGGGGAACTGTTTTACAAAAGTAGCCAGTGAAAGAGGAAAGCTAGGAGCATGTGGCATCCTGGAAACCATGTGAAGAAAGGGCTGAAAATAGAGATAACTAAGTGTGTCAAATGCTGCTAAGAGGCTATATAAGATGAGGTCTGAGACTTAACTGTAGTTTGGTCAATGTGAACATCATCAGTAACTTCAGCCATTTTGATGAAGTGGTTGGGCAAAAAAAAAAAACTGGGGTAATTTCAGAAAGGCATTGGAGCAATGAAGAACTAAAAAAAGCTGCTATAAATATATGAAAAGTTTTGCTGTAAAGTAAATACATATATGGGGTTTTGTTTTGCTATGCAAAGAGTTTTTATTTGCATGCAACAGATATATGTACCCTTTCTTTCAAAGCTTCTGGGTTTCCTGTTTTTAGTAGAAATGTGATGTCTGTGAACAGCAATTCTGGTAAGAATTTTTCACAGTACATTAATTCCTCTCTCCTTTCTGAGGCCTCCCCTGTTTGGAGGTTGGAGGGGTCTTCCTGCTGGGTCTAGGGCTGTTTTTTCAGTAACCTCAAAACCTTTTGACTGATTCACAGCTCATATCCCCATAACCAAAAATGACTACAGTCAACACTGCAGCCATGTAACTGACACCAAACCCTGATGTGGCCACAACTCTTCCTCTCTGGATCCCACCACCAACCTTATATACACAGGCAGTTTCCCACAGGCAGAATGTGGAAAGACCAAAGGACTACACGTATTAGAACCATGACATGAGGAAACACAGATACCCAGGGATATATTGAAGTGGTAGCAGCAGGCAGGATCACATCCACCACCCATTCCCCACCATAATCTTCCTCCAGAATGTGACCACCCTGTACACTCGGACCCAAACAGGAGACCATTGCACAGCAAGACACATGGTTTCTCATAGAGCTCTATTGTGGCATATAATAATAGGTACTCTATATAAATTAAATTAAAAATAAAGCTCCAGCAGGTTGCACAGGTTGGCTGTTAATAAATATCTCTCTGGGTAATTGTGCCCCAAGACCAGCTCACGACCACTCTCCCTCGTCCAGAGAATTATACAAAAATAAATACAGGCTCGGGGTGGGGTGGGGGAGGACATGCCTGGTTTCATTCTAAAAGTCCTTTTTTCTCACATCATCCACTATCCCTTCCTCTCCATGGGTATCACTGCAGGGAGTCCCGAGCTGACTAGACAGCTCCAGAACAAGGAAGGCTCTCTCCAATCGAGCATTCTCAGAAGCAAAGGACCAAGGTCCCTCACTGCACAGGCCACAAATCTCATATCAACCCTGTGGGGTGGTAGAGGGACTGCCCCTCCCCAGACCCTAGAGAGGGGGAAGCCTGTTATTGCTGATCCCACAAGCATCCCCTACGAGAACCAGGCCAGAGAGAGGCACAGCGCAAGCACCAGGAGGGACACACCACTGTTCAAAGCCACAGGGACGACCACCAGCCCAGCCAGGACTCCCAGAGTCTGGGTCAAGGGCCCCCGGAGCTGAGGAGGTAAGCCACATACACATTCTGCAGGGGCTGCTAGGGTGGGAGACTTCTTTGAGGGCTCAAGGTTTGGGTCTGCACCCTTTTCATCCTGGGAGATCACATGAGGTCTGGCCACACTAGAAATACAGACCTCAGCCTCCACAGGACCAAGGAGGGTGGGATTCTGCTCCTGCAGAAGGACTGGAGCAGCTGGTTCTTTGCCAGATAAAGAAACCAAGCTGTCTGCCAACTCACCAGTGACCTCCATCCTGGCTTCTGTCCCGGCTTCCCCTGGGGACCTCGTCACCCCAGCTATGATTCTATTCATGTGCAAAGAGGTGGTGTTCTTACCCACCCCTTTCTCTGGATCCCCAGTAAATTGGCCCTCTGTACTCAGAACCACAGGGCTGTCACATCCTGAGCCTTCTGCCCATGGGAGCCACACATCTCCCATAGTGGCTACCATAGAGTGGGCCCCAGAGAGGATTTCCGGAGGCGATTCTTTGGGGCTGTCTCCTTCAGGGCTGGAGGGAGTGATGGAGAGCCCCTCTTCACCCTCCCCGTCATCATCAGGGTCCTCGGTGTCCTTGATGAGCTCCACACCACGCCCCAGGCGCGCATAGTGCAGAGTGATCTCCTCAGCCAGGGCACTGTTCAGGGCCCTCTCAGGGCCAGGCCACTTCAAGATCAGGTCACGATCCGTGAGTACGCCCAGGGGATGGCTGGGGGACATCCCTCCATCTGTGGGGCCCTCCCCACCACCCCCTGCCCCACCTGCAGCCACAGCAGCCCGCAAGCGGCTCAGGTGGGATAAGTAGAGCTGCTCCAGCTCCTGGTCAATGGTGTCTTCGCCAAGCAGCTCCTCCAACCCACTCACGACCTCCAGACCCCCAGAAGGCTCATCCATAATAGCCCCCACCATGGGGTCCTTTCGACTCCCTCCACTCTCACTCAATACTTCCCACGTGGTCTCAACTTGTTGCTGGCTGGGTTCCAGGAAGGGCCCCGTGGCCCCCTCACTTGCATCGGGCCCTGAGGCCTGGTCCCTGGGGAAGCCACCCAGACCACAGAGAGGGGTGGAGGGGGGAATCCTGATGGCTGGTGCCTGGGGGACTTCTGTAAAAGCCACAGGTGGACTGCTTCTGGGGATGTCACCTTCTTCTGGGGGTTTTCCAGTTGCAGTAGCTTCAGAAACCTGGAGCCATGATGGGAATAGGGAGAGAAAAGGAAGGGAATGAAGTAGAGGAGGGGAGGGACAAGCAAGACAATAAGAACAAGTGACAGCCCACACCCAGCCCAACAGGAGTTTCTGGATAATGCCTTAAAGAGCCCTCTTGAATTCTTTAAACTCCAACGACTCTGTCATCCAGATAGGTATTTACGTAAGTAAATAGGTAGGTAGGTAGATTATTAGATAGATAAATAAATAGATATAGATAGATATGGACATGTATAGGTACTGGGGATTGAAATCGGGTACTTTACCACTGAGCTATATCCACAGCATATATATATATATATATATATATATATATATATATTTTTTTTTTTTTTTTTTTTTTTTTTTTGAGACAGAGTCTCGCCAAGTTGTGAAAGTTGCTGAGGCTGGCCTCAAACTTGCAATATTCCTGTTTCAGACTCCCAAGTTCTGGGATTACAGGTGTGCACCATCACACTCAATTTATGTCTAAATTTTTTTTCAAAACAATTCCATAGAAAATGAGAGGGGAGGCAGAGAGTATGGAAAGTAGGAATGGACACATGTTGATATTTGTTGGAACTAGGTGATGGTATATGTGAGTTAATTATACTAGTCTCTTTACATTTATACATATTTGGAAACCTTTATAATAAGAAGTTAAAACATACACATACACACACACACACACACACACACACACACACACACAGCTCTGAGATGTCCCTTCCTCCCCTGTCACCACCATCAGGGCTCTCTCAGACCCACTGCAATGGCCTCCTCCTCCTCCTCCCTGGCATCCCTGTTTCCATCCTCCCCTAACAGCTTATTTCCAGGTAGCAGTCAGAGGGAGCTTGTTAAATCCAAGGTCAGACCAAGTCCCTCCTCTACTCACAACCCTCCTGTGGCTCCCGCTCTCACTATAAAAGCCTAAATCCTCACTGTGGCCCACAAAACCTTGTCCAATCTATCCCCAGCCACCTCTCTTGACCTTAACTCCCACCATTCTGCCCCCCACTCACTCTGCTCCCTCCACAATAGCCTCCCCTGTCCCTCACACATTAGTCATGGCCCCACTTCAGGAACTTTGTACTTGCCTAGAATGCTCATCTAGTTATCCCCATGGCTCACTCTCTCATCTTTAGATCTTCTCTCAAATCTCAATCTTTGCTAAGTCCTTCCCAGTCCACCTGATCTAAAGCTGTAAACATCCATATCTCTCTCTGTGTCTCTCCTTCTCTCCCTCTCCCTTCAGTTTTTCCCTTAGTATTCATCTTCATATAACAATATGCTATGTATTTTAACTATTATTTTATTGTATCTCACCTAACATGTAAGCCCCATGCAAACAGCATTTTTGTTTACCACTGTGTTTCCAGTGTCTAAACACAGAAAGCACCCCTAAATATTTGCCAAATTAACGACTGAAATTTCCCTAAGCCCAGGTAAATCACTGATTCTCCCCCTCCCCTATCATCTTCTGGTTTTTGCAAACTCCCTCTGACCTAGAATGAACCCAGAGTTACTTGGCTCCACTACCTAGTCCAGCTGAGGTTACACATTAGGCTGTCTGCCCCCAGGATACAAGGGCCTGCTTACCTGAAGGGTCATCTGGGGCCATGGACGGAGAGGGGTAGGGGCCACCAAGGAGCCCAGTGACTCCTGGACATCAAGATGTTCTGCTTAAGAGAAGAGAAGGAAAGTGTTGGAGCAAGACAGGTGTAAAAGCATGTCTTATTTTATTAAGAAAATCTACAAGTATGGCCAACTGGCAGTTTGTCTCTGAAGCTTTCTGTGGCAGTCTAAGGCAGAGGGTACCTCTTTACTTTTATAGAAAGAAAAAGGGTAGGAAGAACGAAATGACAGGATCTTGGGATGTGGCTCAGTGGTAGATCACTTACCTAGCATGCAGAAAGCCCTGGGTTCAATCCCCAATGCTACAAATAATAATAATTATTATTATTAGTAGTAGTAGTAGTAGTAGTAGTAGTAGTAGTATTTAATATTATTGTTGCGTCACCAGGTATGTCAGCACACACCTGTAATCCCAGTGACTCAGGATCCTGAGCCAGGAGGATTGTAAGTTCAAGATCAGCCTCAGCAATTTAACAAGTTCAAAATAAAAAAGGGCTGGGGATTGTAGCTTAAGCTTTTTTATTTTGAGCTTGTTAAATTGCTGTAAAGCACCCTTGGAAGAAGGAAAAGAAAAAAGAAGGGGCTAGAAGGCCTGAAGGTAGAGCACTTTATGTACAAGTCCCTTGGTTCAAATCCCTAGTACTGCAAACAAGCAAAAACAATTGAGTTATAAAAAGGGACTAGAACTGCAAAGCTTGCCAGGTGCTTACCCATGGCAGGGGTATTATCATCCGTGTTCTTCATCCTCAGCTCCTCTTCATGAGGCCTGTGGGGCAGAGGAGAGAGCACATAGATCTCACGCCCTGAGAGACCAGTTCTGCCACCCGTGGGTACCTTCTGCACCTCTGTGGTGGCCTATCCTCACCTGACAGCTGCTACTTTCTGCTGAAAAGTCCTACACGCTTATGGAAATTTTGCAAAATACAGGAAAGTATAAATATACAGGAAACAAAGCAATCACACACATCAGATAGAGGCTACCACTATTACCATTATGGAAAATTTCATTCCAGACATTCTCTGAAACTGTTTAGATTCTACATACTTTTAAAGCTGGCTTTGATGATTTATCAGTAAGAAACATTACAGGATTTTGCAAACATTGAAAATGGCTGCTTAATAGTCATATCTTATGGCTTGTTATAATTTCCATAGATATTCCCTTTCTGCTGAGCAAGTAGGTTGTTTCCTTTACTTTTGGGTCAAAAGCAGACTTCAGCAAACAGTCTTGTGCACAGCTTCAACATGTTTGGTTCACTATGCATAGTGGAGCTTGCCCATAATCCCAGCAACTTGGGAAGCTGAGAGAGAAGGATCACAAGCTCAAGGCCAGCCTCAACAACTTAGTAAGACCCTGTCTCAAAGTAAAATAAAATAAAATAAAATAAAAAGGGCCAGAGATGCAACTCAGAGGTACAGTATCACTGGGTTTAATCCCACAATAAGAAAAAAACTGGATCATTTGTTTATGGTCCATTCCTGTCTGGGGACAAAGCCATCTTCTCCAAGAAAGGGCAGAGGGAAAAGACTTTGGGACACAGGAGTCAACAGGGGGAAGAAAGAAAAAGTAAATGGAGAATAGGAAGGGGGTCAGAAAGGCCTGGGTCCCTTCACCAGCCCTTGCCCATGCCCAGATCAGCCTGCCATATCATGTCACCTTCTCACTTGTAACATAAGCCAGGATATGCACATCAAGCACAGGGAAATGAAGAGGAATGAAAATGGAAAGCCATATATCAGGACCTGGCACACAGCAGGGCTAAATCAATAGGAAGTGGCTATTGCTCCCTTGCCAGCCAAGTCTGACTTAAGTGACATAAACCAAGAATGTTTCAACCAGATACCTCCCTTGCCAGGGTTGGTGTCTCATTATGAAGAAATCACTATTCTTACTTTCTTACGAGTATCAAATGGGTACAGATAAGGTGAATGAAGGAAGCACTGATTACAGTTTCAGAGACCTGAGGGAAGCTTAGACTTTTCTTCCTGAGAAGCAATGGGGTGATACTGACATTCCTAGAAATAGCTGAAACTTTGTGAAAACACCGCATCACTTGCCTTCACAAATAAAGAATATCAAGCTGGATGTGGTGACACATGCATGTAATCCCAGTGACTCAGGAGGCTGAGGCAGGGGCAGGAGGGTCGTGAGTTCAAAGCCAGCCTCATCAGCTTAGTAATGCCCTAACCAACTCAGTGAGACCCTGTCTCTAAATAAAATATAAAAGAGGGCAAGGGATGTGGCTCAGTGGTTAAGCACCCCTGAGTTCAATCTCTGGTACCCCCCCCCAAAAAAAAAACAGTATCACTAATTGACCTGTGTGTATGTACTATGGCATTAAGGCACTGGTCTGTGTGCCTCACATATATTAATTTAATCTTCACAGTGCCCTGAGATAGGTACTTCTAATCCTTTAAACTACATATGATGATCTGGAGATGGTGTGAGTGGCTTACAGTCATGCAGACAGGATTGAGACACAGGCCTTCTGGTTTTGAATCAATATGCTGCCACTTCTTAGATGAGAAAGACTGGGGTCTTACCCAATTTGATTTCCAACACTTTCTAGAAGTAGATAAAGGGAGGCATCAATAATAGACAAGATTTCTCCCTACTCCTTCATCCAGCCTTTTCTTTGGACTTGCCCTTTGCCCTCCATACTCATTCCCAGTTTCCCTGCCTCCATGGTCATGTGGGCTAGAACACCAACAAGGACAAAGGTTGCCAGAACTTTTTATTATCACCCTTGAGGAAGAAGCCTGAACCATGTATACAGATCTAGAATCTGGAAAGCCTTGGAAAGCAGAGTCTATCATTCTCTCTGGTCTAAGGCTTAAACATCCCACAGAGAGGCATCTGAATCAGAATACTACAGGACCTCAGATGGGTGATGCTGGGATCCCAGAGATCAACCCCCTATACCTCACAGTTGAGAAACAGGGATTCAGAGCAAATCACCATAGTCCTGTACTAGTCCCCTCAGTAGATTTAAAATCCAGGCCTATGAACTTGTGGCTCAACATGATCTCTGCCCAACAGCTCAAAGTCAGTGCTTGTTAAAAAAATAAAAATAATCTTCCTAGGATCTTCTAAAGCAAGCCGCTTCAAAAATACTCCTGAACAGACAGAAAGCCAGCCCGCCCTCCCAGGGACAGGACTAGGCAAGCCTTCCTGCCATCTGGCCCAGTTCTGACATGCGTGACAACCAAGTTTCTAAAAGCCACTACAAAGTGGCTTAAATGTGCAAGTGAAAAGGGAAGAACTCAGGAAGCAGTCAGTCAAAAGGCAAAGGTCTCCACAATTCAGCTGGAGGAAGAAATGGGGGAAGAAAAACAAATGCAAAAGAAATCCTTCAACTGCCAGAGTGGCACTTTGACAAGTCTAAGAGGAACATCTAAAACTCAGGTCAAGCAACTGAGCCTATCCCAGGGTCCACAGAGTCCACAGAAGCAAACAAGTTGTTCTCCTAAACTCAAAGTCAGAAAAATGAAAGCAGGAGGCACCAGCATTTATTGTTCACTTCTCCAAAAAACAGGCCCTTTTCATTGATATACCAAGTCATTTGAAATGCAGAAAGTAAGGCTTAAGGAACTGTCCCTATGCACACTCACTCCACACCACACTAATAACATACAAAGGGGGCTCCATTTTGAAGACAGTATCTGAAATTGGAGGCCTAAAATATAGATATATCCTTGAACTGTCGTCCACGATAACAATTTTAGAGGCAGCTCTGACTACAATCAAAATGAGGACAGTAAGGGAAATCAAGAACAAGTGTATATTGACTCACTGATCAGTAACAGGATTCTTAGAAAAATGGGGAGAGATATTAAGAACAAAACTGTACCTACAGTGCGCCTGCTAATTTTCAAGAAGGAAACCTGCTCTTTTGGCACCAGTCCCACAAATGCCACGTGGCATCCTCTCAAGGGTTGTAGGCAGTAGAAGGCCATGGTACCAATTGCTGCGGCTGTCTCGGGCAAGAACCTTGGGAGTGCTTGTGAGTAACAGCCAAGTTGGTGTTATTTGGAAGGGGCTAAGGCCTACACACCAATCTCCTGGGTGTGAAAATTTCTCCTGCAAGGAACTGCTGAACTCACAGTACCTAAGGAAATCGGGGAGAGAGATCTTAGAAAGAGGTGGCACCAGCCTCTGCCTAGGCCAGCAGAGACACAACAGAAAGATGAGTTGCCAGGGTTAGACAGTGAACAAGCAAGAGAGGGCTGGCAAGCCTCATGGAGAAAAGCAAAGCATACTCTCAAGAACAGTCACATCCCTGCTACCACCAACACCACTCAAGAACTGAGTGCCCTCAGCACTCACATCTTCAAAGAGTGTTGCCAGCCCAAAGTGGGTCAGGCACTGAAACCAAAGGGAAACTCAGCAGTTCCCGGCTCCCATGGACACAATCTGATGCTGCTGCTGACTCTCAGGGTGGGGGGTGGGGGGGGGGGTAAAGGCAGTTTCAGAAAGCTGCCCTGTGATACTTGGAATCACAGTTACCCTAGGCCTTTGCTTTCAGGAAAGAATGGGGTTTGAAGGCAGGTGAAAGCCACCAAGTTATGTGGGACACTGCCTCACCTTCCCCAAGCAATGTCAGCCTCAACTTTGAGACTTATAATATGGCAAGGTGGAGGGAGGAAAGCATTTATCATGCTGTGAGTTTCACTTATTGCTGTGACAATTCCCTAGCCATAGCCCACCAGTAAGGAAACCATTTTACATCATAACCCAGCATACCCACTCATGAGTAAATATATTCACACATATAGAACTGAAAAATGGTTGTTCTTTGAATTTGAAACAATACTTACCTTTCCTGCATAGTGTGACATGCTTGGTACTTCTATGCCACTTTTTAGTATTGGTTAGAACCCAATAAATTGATTTCACATCTCAATAAATGGTCAAAATATGCAAGTTTTAATAATCCCAGGTCTTCCACCTATTAGCAGTGTAACCTGGTGCAAGTTATTTAGCCTCTCTATGTCACACTCTTCTCATCTATTAAGAGCGGATAATAGTGATTTCCTCCCTCAGTCAGTTAAGTGAACTGAAGAAATATATGAAAAGTGTCTATAAAGTGCTTAAAAGTAATTCTCTTCAAATTCGCACTGAGGGAAACTGAGGATTTGAAAAAGAAAGCTACATGCCCAGTGGTGCCCAGCTGGTAAGACACACTCCCCAGCCTGGTAGAGCAGTTAAGAACTGGGGTACCAGAGCAGAATCTCCCAGGCTTAGTTCCCAGCTCTGCCACTTTCTTAATGAAGGACCTCAGGCCCATATCCTTAACTGTGATGCCCTATCAATTTTCTATGGAATAAAATGGGTGTCATTTTTCATTAAATCCTCTCTCCAGACACCTCTGATAACCTCTGACCCATCCTATTTCAACTCTAATTGCTCCCATTGGCCCTAAGGCTGCCAACTTACATTATCAAGTTATTATCAAGTTGGATCCCATCCATTCAGTTATAGGTGCACCTAAAACCCACTGAGGCCTTATTGTGCATCATCCCAGTGACCAACCCTGGACATACACCAGTGAGCAAACCCAACTAGGAAGCTTACAATTCACTGTGGAAGAAGACATTAAAAAAATACTCAAACTCGTTCTTTCAACAAACATTTATTGAGCACCTGCTAAATCCCAGGCACCATAGCAGGCCTGCAAAATACAGTGGTGACCAAAAGCAGACTGTATCCCTACCCCTCACGGAGCTTACAGTCTATCAGGGCAGAGTTATCCAGTAACCCCTTAA